AACATGCATTGCTTCCTCCATGGTGATAAAGTACATACAGCTCCTGGTGTACTGGTGACGCACCATCCTAGAGAGGGGGAGGTGAAACTACCTACACCCAGAGACCTACACCTAGACACCTACACCTTGAGACTTGGAGACTCCACACCTGAGACTCCACACCTGAGACCACACCTGGAAACCTACATGGATCTTAGAGACCTACACCTAGAGACCTGACACCCAGACACCTACACCTGAGACCCACACCTGGATGCACTGCAGCACACTCACACCTGGAGACCTACACTGGACACCTACACACCTGGAGACTCCTACACCCAGAGACTTACACCTAGAGACCCACACTCTAGACACCTACACCTGAGACTCCACACCTGGGATTCCACACGACACCCACACCTGAGACCTCACCTAGAGATCTACATCTGAGACCCCACACCTAGACACCTACACTCTGGAGACCTACACCTAGAGCACCCACACCTGGAGACCTACACCTGGACTCCCACACCTGGGAGGCTACACCTGAGACCACACCTAGAGATCTACATTGGAGATTCCACACCTGAGACCCACACCCAGAGACCCACACCTGAGACACCCACACCTGGAGACTCACACACCTGGAGACCCACACCTGGAGACCCACACCTGGAGAGACCTACACCTGGAGACCCACACTCCAGAGACCTACACACCTGGAGACCCACACCTGGAGACCCACACCTAGAGACCCACACCTGGAGACCTACACCTAGACACTCCTACACCTGGAGACCCACACCTAGGAGACCCACACCTTGAGACCTACACCTGGAGACTCCCACACCTGGAGACCTAGGCACCTGGAGACCTTACACCTGGAGACTCCACACCTGGAGACACCCCTGGACACTCAGCACCTGGAGACCCACACCTGGAGACCTACACCCAGGAGACTCCACACCTGAGACCTACACCTAGAGACCTACACCTGGAGACCCACACCTGGAGACCTACACCTGGAGACCCACCTGAGACCTACACTTGAGACCCACACCTAGGAGACTCCACACCTAGAGACCTGCACACTCCTGGAGATCTACACCTAGAGACTCCACACCCTGAGACCCACACCTGGAGACCCACACCTGGAGACCCTACACCCAGAGACCCACACCTGGAGACCTACACTCTGAGAAAGACCTACACTTCTGAGACTCCACACCTGGAGACCACACCTGGAGACCTACACCTGGAGTTCCCACCAGACCCACACACCTGGAGACCTACACCTGGAGACCCACACTGAGACCCACACCTCGAGACCCACACCTGGAGACCCACACCTAGAGACCTACACCTGAGACCTACACCTGGAGACCCACACCCAGAGACCCACACCCAGAGACCCACACCTGAGACACCACACACCGAGACCTACACCTAGAGACCCACACCTGGAGACCTACACCTAGAGACCTACACCTGAGACCTACACCTGGAGACCTACACCTCAGAGACCTACACCTGGAGACCCACACCTGGAGTCCACACCTGAGACCCACACTCCAGAGACTCCACACCTGGAGACCCACACTGGAGACCCACACCTGGAGACCCACACCTGAGACCCACACCTGGAGACCCACACCTAGAGACCCACACCTAGAGACCCACACCCAGAGACCCACACCTGGAGACCCACACCTGGAGACCCACACCTAGAGACCTACACCTGGAGACCCACACCTGAGACTCCACCATGGAGACCCACACCCAGAGACCCACATCTGAGACCTACACCTAGAGACCCACACCTGGAGACCCACACCGGGAGTCCCACACCCAGAGACCCACACCTGGAGACCCACACCTAGAGACCTACACCTGGAGACCCACACCGAGTCCCTACACCTAGAGACCCACACCTGGAGACCCACACCGAGTCCCACACCTAGAGACCTGGACCTGGAGACCCACACCTAGAGATCCACTCTTGGAGACTCACACCTGGAGACCTACATCTGAGACCCACACCCAGAGATCCCACATCTGGGAGACCCACACCCAGAGACCTTCAGTTGGAGACCTACACTGGAGACCTACACCTAGAGACCTACATCTGGAGAGCCACACCTGAGACTCCACACCGGGAGTCCCACACCCAGAGACCCACATCTGGAGACCCCACACCTAGAGACCTACATCTGGAGACCTACACCTGAGACCTACACCTGGAGACCCACACCGGTACACCCAGAGACCCACACCTGAGACCTCACACTCCAGACCTACACCTGAGACCCACACCGGGGAGTCCCACACCTAGAGACCTCACACCTGAGACCAACACCGGGAGTCCACACCCAGAGTCTCCACATCTGGAGACCCACACCTGGAGAGACCCACACCGGATCCTACACCTAGAGACCTGCATCTGGAGACCTACACCCCAGAGACCCACATCTGAGACCCACACCTAGAGACTCTACACCTGAGACCCACACCGGGAGTCCTACACCCAGAGACCTACACCTGGAGACCCACACCCAGAGACCTACACCTGAGACCCACACCGGGAGTCCCACACCAGAGACCTACACCTGAGACCCACACCGGGAGTCCTACACCTAGAGACCTACATCTGAGACCCACCCAGAGACCTACATCTGGAGACCTACACCTGGAGACCTACATCTGAGACTCACACCCAGAGACCTGCCATCTGGAGACCTACACCTGGAGACCTACACCGAGTCCTACACCCAGAGACTCCACATCTGAGACCTACACCTAGAGACCCACATCTGAGACCCACACCTGAGCACTCCACACCGGAGTCCTACACCTAGAGACCCACATCTGGAGACCCACACCTAGAGACCTACACCTGGAGACCTACACCTGAGACCTACACCGAGGACTCCACACGGGAGTCCCACACCTAGAGACCTACATCTGGAGATCTACACCTGAGACCCACATCTGGAGACCTACACCTAGAGCATCCACATCTGGAGACCCACACCCAGAGACTCATATCTGAGACCTACACCCTGAGACCTACATCTGGAGACCCACACCTAGAGACCCACACCTGGAGACCCACACCTGGAGACCCACACCTGGAGACCCACACCTGGAGACCTACACCTAGAGACCTACATCTAGAGACCCACACCTAGACCTACACCTGGAGACCTACACCGGGAGTCCCACACTCCAGAGACCCACACCTGGAGACCCACACCCAGAGACCCACACCTGAGACCCACACCGAGTCCTACACCCAGAGACCCACACCTGGAGACCTATGCACCGAGTCCCACACCTGACTACATCTGGCCTACACCTAGAGACCCACATCTGGAGACCCACACCAGAGACCCACATCTGAGACCTACACCTAGAGACCCACACCTGGAGACCTACACCGGGAGTCCCACACCTAGAGACCTACATCTGGAGACCCACACCTGGAGACCCACACCGGGGAGACCTACACCCAGAGAGCCCACACCTGAGACCCACACTGGGTCCTACACCTAGAGACCTACATCTGGGAGACCTACACCTAGAGACCTACATCTGGAGACCCACACCTGGGAGACCTACATCTGGAGACTCACACCTGGAGACCTACACCGGGAGACCTACACCCAGAGACCTACACCTGAGACTCCACACTGGGAGTCCCACACCTAGAGACCTACATCTGGAGACCTACACCTAGAGACCCTACATCTGGAGACCCACACCTGAGACCTACATCTGGAGACCTACACCTAGAGACCTACACCTGAGACCTACACCGAGTCCTACACCCAGAGACCTACATCTGAGACCTACACCTAGAGACCTACACTGGGAGACCTACACCAGAGACCTACAACTGAGACCTACACCGGGAGTCCTACACCAGAGACCTACATCTGGAGACTCACACCTGAGACCTACATCTGGAGACTCCATATTCTAGAGAGCCTACATCTGGAGGGCTTACGTACACAAGTTTTATGTGTGCACCAGGAAGGATCCAGATATAGTCCGGCTTTTCTCTCAGTGTCTGTAAATCTATTTGAAAATGTGTGTATGTGTGTGTGTGTGTGTGTGTGTGTGTGTGTGTGTGTGTGTGTGTGTGTGTGTGTGTGTGTGTGTGTAAGCATTAACGAATGATGATTGTCAAAATACTATGATTATCACTGTATCATCATAAAGTCACAGTATTGGAGGAGACGGTGTTACGTGCGGCTGAATTATCCTGTTGGTGGGTAATTGGGGAATTATAAACTTGTTGTGCTATTTACTGAGTTATTATACCTTGTCGGAGTTAATTAACCTTGATGGAGGTATTAAGATTATTTATATTTTATAGTTTAGATCTTACTGAATTTTCATTATTGTTATACACTCTGTTAATGAATTGATACGTTTCATTATATTTATCTAATTTATTTCAATCCTGTACTTAATAATTCGCTAAATGTATTAAATTTGTGTAGTGTTTGTTTCGCTGTATCTTATCGTTAATGTCTGTAAATATCGTTAAATTATTATTTTGTCTTTACGTTGCGATTTTTTTTCGGTATAAATGGAAATTGTTGAATGAAAATGAATAAAGAAGTTCTAGTAATTTATGGTATAATTGCGAAAAATGTTAAATGAACTGTCTATATTGAATAAGATAAGATGATAGAGAAAAGAGGTAAAAACAGACAGAAAGATATTGGAGATAACCAATAGACAGACAAACAATGAGAGGATATTTGAACCAAGATCTACAGTACGTCGGCACTACCTCCACCACCTCTACCAAGAACACCACCCTCATCACACTCACCACCACCAATATCACTACCACTACTAATATCACTAACACCAACACCATCAAGAACATCACCACATCATCACCAGGTGCACAAACACCATCACCACCCCAATATCACTACCACCAGACCATCAAGAACACCACCACCAGGAGCAAAACACCATCACCACCGTAGTTTCACCCACCTCCAATACCACTCCATCACCACCACATTATAACCACCACTACCAACCATCACCAACATCACCAACGTCACCATCACCACCAGGCTCCAACATAGCTCATGTACCATGGCCGCCGCCGCATCTTTATCTTCCATATTTCACATAATCCCAGGCCGTTCCCAGTCGGTCTCAGTTCCAGTTCCATTCTACACACACACACACACACACACACACTCACACACACATACACACACACACACACACACACACACACACACACACACAAACACACACACCATGTCTCCATCAACCATGTTTCAAGACCATGGTTGTGCACATCAACCTCCTCTGACATTGTCCCACCTCCTCCATTCTCTGGGTCCGAACACACCCGGGTTGTAGATTCACGAGCCTCGGCGTCGCCATGGACGATGAGCTAAATTGTGACCACACGTCAGTTAAGCTCAAATCCTCCAGTTTCCGTCTCCTCCTCTGCCGACTAAGTCCTCAGTTCTGCTCGAGCTCCTCAGTGTTTACAACATTCATACTTTAAGCTCACCTTGCCTCCCCCCACTGGTCTTCTCTCTAAATGCCACAACGTAAACACTTAGAAAAGTGCAAAGAGGGCATGCAAGATTATTCTCTCCCTTCCTACTCCTATCAGAAGCGCTCAACACACTGAGTCTCTTTCGTCTCTTTGACCATCACCGACCTCATCTGCAGATTTGGTATGAAGCTTACACCATCCCCGACACCGGCCTTACTACCACCTGAAATCCTTTAGTCGGAGAATTGCTGTTCGACCACAGCCGCATCCAGCCCATACGTGCACGGACTGTCGTTAGTAAGAACAGCCCAGTCCCAATCCATTGTGAAGTTATCAATAACTTGTAATAAATCGCAGTATTCATCTCCTGTAAACACTGCTCCTTGCTATCGTCTATGCTTTCGAACTGTAGTTTGTGCTTTTCCCCATCTGGTTATTATATGTCTTGTTTGTTTAACTATGTTGCTTTGTATATTATTTGTAATTGTAACCCATTCCCAAATATGTAGCTGTGTATTTTCAGCTTGGCTGCTGTTTTCAATAAACTCGTTAATTATTATTGTTTATTATTACACACATATGGTCCAGGCTTTCCGGCGAGTGTTTGTGTGGAACTCTAGAGGATGACCGGAGAGAGGTCATAAAGATTGTTGTATGCTGTAGACGTTTGGATAAGTTTACAGAGGATGATCTCATATTATTGTTTACAAGTTACAGTATCATAAATGTTCCAATGTTCTCTTAGGATGACGATGGTTCATATGTTTATTTTAATACTAGGAACTATGTTCCTAATTATTTGTATCCTCGTGGTTGGTTCAGGTCTTAACCAGCTTGTTGTTGTTCTTACAGGTGCCTTAACAGGGAAAAGAAGCCAAAATTAAACATATATTTATAATGTCGTGAATATATGTCACTGTTATATTTATAAACTGATATAGTTATAACTTAGATTTATAAACTTAACCTAGCCAACCCAGTTCTTAGGTAGTGGGGTAATTAATCAGCAGGTGGAAATATCAATTAGCTGGAAATCTTGTGTTATTGCTTAATTTACGCTATTGACGTTTCTTCGACGGGCTTTAATGAGAGATAAGCAGACGACGATAAGTAAATAAAATATAATTGGGAGAAACGATAAATGTTAAAGGGAAAATAAATAAAAGAATAGGGTAAATAATGTTGATAGTATTGAAATTACTAACTTTTTGCTCGACTGTGAAGCTTGAGAACAAATGGTGAACAGAGGGACAGAAGTGGGAGAACAGACGTAACAGGTGAGAAACATAACGGATGATAATGATGATGTGTGTTGCAATGACGTTAGCTTTTTCCTGTCTAGGTTGTATATGCGAGAACAGACAATTCAGACAGACGCACACAGAGACAGTCAGACAGTGAAGGATAGACAGAACAGTCGTCAGTCAGAGAGAGGATAGACAGAAACAGTCTAAGACAGTCAGAGAGAGGATGAGCAGAAACAGTCAGACAGTCAGAGAGAGAGAGAGAGACAAGCAGACGAATAAAAGAAAAAAGAAGTAATATTGTGACTAGCAGAATAAGTAAATACTAAAACAAACAGGAAAATGACATAAAAGTAACAAAAGAAATGGAAGAGATTAAATAATGAATAAATAAATAAACAAAACACTTGCATGATGGAGATATTTGTTGGGTTATATTATCAGTTGAGCGCTGGTGGGTGACCTTAAAGATCTCTGATTGACAACCTCTTCTTTTATCTAAATCTTACCCTTCAGTCTTCTTTTCTTGCTATAGAGTATATCGGTGACCTACAGTGTATCGTTAATGTAGAGTATATCGACAACATAGAGCATATCGGCAACAAACAATATATCGGCAACCTACAGTATATCGGCAACATAGAGTAAATCGGCAACATACAGCATATCGGCAAAATAGAGTACAGGTTGACAACCCTTTATTCGAAATTCCGAAAACCGAAAAGCTCTAAAAACCGAAAGTTTTTTGTGGGACTTTTTTTTTATTTTTTTATTTTTTTTTTAACAGGGATTATTAGCCCAGCCAGGCACAGATCACTGACCCACATCGGGGCCTGGGGGGCAAAAATATAATAGTAATAATAATTATAATAATAATTATTCATAGTAAATAAAATTTTTAATAATTATACACCAAAATAAAATAATAATGATTACAATAATAATAATAATAATAATAATAATAATAATAATAATAATAATAATAATAATAATAATAATAATAATAATAATAATAATAAAAATAATAATAATAATAATAATAATAATAATAATAATAATAAAATATATAATAAAATTAAAATGATAATAATAACAATAATACTGTAATAATAAAATAATAATACAGTAAAGAAATACAAGAATGAATAAAAGATCAAAAGTGAGAAACACGACCTAGACCTATGAATTATTATTATTATTATTATAATTTTTATTATATTTTAGACCCCCAGGCCCCAATGTGGGTCAGTGATCTATGCCCGGGTGGGCTAATACACAAAAAAAAAAAAACCCTAACCATTCTGAAAACCGAAAAATTCCGAAAACCGAAATGCCTCTGGCCCCAAGGATTTCGGATAAAGGATTGTCAACCTGTATATCGAAAACGTACAGTATATTGGCAACATACAGTACAGGAGCAACATACACAATACACCAGCAACATACACAACATACAATCAACATACAGGATATCGCCAGTATGTCGGTAGGGACGGACGCGACAGGTAAAACGCCTCCTCAAGCATTAGAGTAGGTTAATTAACGATATATTCCCATCCAATAACTCACTATAGCGATCGTCTCGTACGCCTTTATTCTACCTGTAATCTCCATCATTTAAGAATACTCCACTACTTCTGTTACAAAAGATGGATCTGTAATTACAATGTTGCAATTAGGTGGCTCTTTCGTCTGTTCATAGTTGCGAGGAGTTGATGAGGAGTTGGTTGATGGGGGTTGATGGGGTAGAATGTCTTACTTCAGGTTTGAGGTTCGTCAATAATATCGATTTGGTGAAAGTCGTTCATTCGTGTAGGACTTTTTAGGGGGTGAGATTTTATTTGTCTATCTATCTATCTATCTATCTATCTATCTATCTATCTATCTATATCTTTTTTCTCAAGATAGTTTATTTGTAATTATTAGAGTATCTCTCTCTCTCTCTCTCTAGGTTATCAAGGGAGGACTCAACCATCCATGTTTACCTACCTGTCTGTCAGTCTGCCGTCAACCACCCAGAACGTCAGCCAGTCAGAGCGTCAGCCATTCAGATCATCAGCCAGTCAGAGCGTCAGTCACTCAGGTCGTCAGCCACTCAAACCGTCAGACACCGAGACCGTCAGACACCCAGATCGTCAGTCACTCAGATCGCCAGTCATTCAGTACACCAATCACTCAGATCGTCAACCACTTAGA